TTAATTTATACAACAAATCTTCAAGACACTGTTGAATTAACTCAGTTTTCAGTAAAAAATTAAGAATTCTTTTTTTTTTATTGTTTGAAATGAGTATTGACTTAAATTTGCATGTTATTCTGGGACCTTCAGATTATAAATCAGTCAACTGAAAATGTTTCCTTGTAATTCTGTATTTTATCTGTACAACCTTCTGATGTATAGACTTCTGTGTTACTTGTAAAAGAAAATCTTGAACATGAAATTTATGGTAGATTTTTCTAAAGAAAACATCATGTACAAATAAGGAAGATCATTGAAATGGAAAATGTTTGCACCTTGTGATTTTTAGTATTCTTCCACTTAGGCTCTGAAACGGTTTGTTTGACCCAGGCTTATTTCCTTTCCATTAGCGGTCAAAATGACAGACGGAAAGAAGAGTAAAACCCTTTCAAGAACTTTTGTTCTTTATCCTAGCCTCTATATACAGTCCAGTACAGCTTTAATTCATCTTCATTTAATTTGGACTTTTAACATAATGAAATAATTTGTATATCATTCAGTTCAGAAAAGACAAATGTTGTGTTTGTGGTGTCTGCTGTATTTTTCTGGATAATTTTATATTTTATTTCCTGGGGAAATGAAATTTATATGATCACTTTAACTGTTTCCCCCTCTCCCCTAGGTAAATTTGGCCTAATTTCAGCCCGCTTCAGGGAAAGGTTAAATATGTTCCTGCAGATTGGTAACTGGACAGAGAAGAGATATCCTAATTTATGTCGCAGTGAGGAAAGGCAGAAGCAGGGCCTCTGCAGTTGCCTGCTCTGTTCCCTGTGCCAGTTGGCATGGATGAACTCGGGGCCAGCCAAAAACATTGTGCTGCCCACTGTGGTTGATGGGACGGGTGTGGGTAGTTTGGGGGGTGTACAATGAGGAGATAGGAACGTGGATATATGGGAGTTGAGAGTTTTGTGGTGCAATAATGTATTTCTGCCCTGCATCTTCCAGAATAATCCATGAAGAGTGGATTATTTGGGCTTTGCAGAAATGGGAAAGTCTGTACTAGTTCATACTGTTTTCTTAAATGCTTGTAAGTCCGTAAGTATGTGGAATAAAACTAGATGATGGTTTAATTTTGTGTGTGTTAATGTGTGATGATACCATGCTATCTCAATAGATGTTCTGGAGGAAAAAAAAAAAACCACAAAACCAGAACACCCAAACACAAACTGACTTATTTTACATGCGTTTGACCCAAACTTTAAAAAGGAGCTAGTAACAGCAAAATGATCCAAAACTTCTAAAAAGACTGGGAAGCCACTGATGACTCTGCACGTTGTGTGAAATGTTGAAGATGGGTTCTCCGTCTTCTCTGGGATCAATGGTAACTAACATCTACTTAACTAGACTTAGAGGACTCAAAATCCACTCAAAGTGGATTTTTTCCCCAGCAACTCACCCTGTACCTCCCTCCCCAATCCACTAAATATTTAGTGTAAACTTTTATATGGTGATAGATAGTTTGGAAAAGTAAGAAGAAATTGGGTAAGTGTGGGATAATCTTTCCCAGTTCCAGGAATCAGTGGCTTATGACTGATACTTCTCAGCCAAAAATTTCAGTAGGTCATTATGGTATATAATTTAATCATCTTTAGATCTATTTATTATTTTGAGTGTTTCAAGTTTTTTAAAGCTTACGTACTTTTTTTAAAATTAATTTACCTAGTATGGAGTCCAGAGTTGATGGCCTAAGATTTACTCTATTGCCTTAAAATCCTTAAAACAATATGACATTGGAAATTTGTCTGATACGGAGCTTAGTTTAAGCAACAGATTGCTGCCTGGACTTACATGTAGCCGTTCAGTAAAGTCATGTTGCAGTTCCTTTATCACACTCGCATGATTATGATTTGCCTCTCAAATCTCATTTACTGACACTTTGAGATAGGTTCTTGAATTCCTATCTTGCAAAGGATGGCCTTCTGTAAGTTCACCTGTAGTGAAAATTGATATAAATAGTTAATTTGGCTTTCTTGCTAACTCTTTGTTTTCCTGGAACTTTCACCTGGATCATATCAGCATCATCAATTCTACACAGTTCTACTGACTGTGGCATGTTAAAAAAAAAAAAAAATCATGCTAGTTTTCAGATCTTTAGCAAATTGCTCTTTAACGACTTGAGGGTTTCTTTTTTTCCTTTTTAACTTCATTATGGTGTTACCTCTAATTTTCCAGAGCTTATGCTTTGTCTTGGTTTCCTTACTTGGATACAGCTTCCAGTATTTGACGATTGCTGTTTTAATTAAAATATTTTTGTAACCTTTAATTGTGTTTGTTTTTCGTTGCTCTAATAGTCTCTTTGATACTGTCCTGTATTTACGTTGAACATCTAATGCTTTTTCTACAGTCTTAATGTTACCTTCAATCTTTTTATACCTGTATCTTATTCTTCTAAGTTTTCAAAGTACATTAATAATTCTGTAACTTTGATTTTTATTAATTAAAGATTTCCCTGGAGAATTAACTTAAAATTGACAAAGAAAGAGTTGTTTCCCCTACCTGTCTCTTTTGTGTAGTGTTTGAAGAGGATGAAATAAATGTCATGATGATGAATAATTTTCACCGCATAGCCCAAGAATTCATATTTAGGAATTTTTGGTATTAGTGATGGTGTTGAGTCCTGAAGGGCTGCTGCTTGTATAGGTCCCTTATATTTATGGCATGAATTGTTTTATTTACAAAACTTTGGTTCTGCTGCCAAAAGATATTGGCACAAGGCTTGAGTGTTATTTCAGACAATTGGGAGAAATTGGGAGAAATTTCTATGGCAGAAATAAAAAATTCCTTCCATGTTGAATGTTGTAAACATAGGCTACGCTAGAAGTCTCTCTTGCAGATCATAACTTTGTATCTACTGGAGAGGCGGAAGTTTGCTGTTTCTTTACAGGTCTTGTCCCACTCTCCTAACGATGAGATGGAAGCCAGGCTTTTTTTTAATTCTCTCTTTTTCATTCCTTACTGGTAACAGCATAGCTACCGACTCAAATACTGCCCTTCCAGTGATTTCTTTCTTGTGAACTGTTAAGGAAGGGAGTTTCTAGTAAGAGCTACGACTCCTTATTTGTTCTAAACTCTTGAGTTTTGACGTGTTTGCTTCAGGCACTCAGCTACCTTCATGCATTCTTCTCTATATTCAGTATTCATTGAGGTTTTACCCAAAGAGAGTGAAAACCCTTAAAATACGTATAAAAAAAGCCTCCACCCCCACTTTTGCTTTTTACTTTTGCTAAGAGACGTGCTACTGTCCCCAAGCAGTGCTTGCTTGTCATTTAGGGCCTGATTGCATATGACATTGCTATCACTTTTGTGACCTGAACCTTAACCTCCCATTTTTGTCCTATGAGTGTTCCCGTCTCAACGGTTTGCAAAGTAGCGACACAGTTCCTCCTGTGTATGCTCTGAAAATGATATCTCTTGATTTTCAGAAGAGAGTTGTGTTATGAACCAGAGCCCATTTCCAAAGTAGAAGAGCGGTTCTTAAACACTTGCACCTCTCGAGTTTAATTGCCTTTGGAATGGCTGGCATTTGAGTTTAATTGTAAATTATTATGCAATAGGATAAATATACTTGGTTGCCTGAGACACACAACTGTGTCTGACTCAGTTTGAATATGCGTATTGTTCGAAGGATGGCTCTGACGACTCTCACCTTACCGACATTCCCCTCTCTTCCCTCTTGGGGAGCTTCTGGTTTCATGTGTACTCTCTCTCTAATGCTGCTGATGGGTTTTACTTCTGACATCGAATACAAGTTACTTTTCCCTTCTTATTGATTCTGATAGCAATTATATGCGATGAGATGATCCATAATCTTTGTACAATGGATATACTACTTTATACTGCAATTCACAATGACAAGTCACCTCATTTTGTTGTATGTGCATTTAAACTTCAAAGTCATTAATAGCTAAAGCTAAATTGTAGTGATGCTTAAGGCTGGGATATTTCTCAGTTGTTAAGTAGCTTATTAGGAAGTTTTGAATTTCAGAATAGACTGATGCATTATTGCAGCTGTATGATTGTATTTGGCATTTTGGTATCTGGTTCTGATATTTTTCCATGTGTATTATATTATAATCACTCAATACTGCTATTTGTGCTTAGTTTTACAAGGAAGAAAAGTTTATAAATAAGAATAAAAATTTACAATTAAAAAACTTTTAATTTACAATTAAAATCTACAATTCACAAGTTTCTTCTCTGTAGCTTTGTCAGTATTATTTCCTGAGGTTACCAGAAATGCGGTTGGTGTATTTATACTGAATGCTTCTAGGGAAATTTGGATTTGAAGGGTAGTAGCTGACAAATATAAGGTTTTCTGTGAGAGCTGCCTATGTTTGCCTTTCTTACAGAAGGGACAGAGTTGTGTCTCTCAGAGTAGTTGATATAATGGAAAAGTACTCTCGTTGCCAGCCTGCTTTGGTCTGTAGACAAACCAGCTATCATAGTAAATGGAATTGCTCCCTGACACTGGGCAAGGATTTAAATTTTTACTTGTAAATTTGTTTCTTAAAAAGACAATGTCAAGGTAATTTGAAATAATAAAACTGTTTCATGTGAATGCTCAAAGAACTGAAAAAAATCTGTGGCTTTTTCCATAGAAGTGAAACTGAAAGCTGCAGAGTGAGAATATATACGAGTGATCAAAAGCTATAGGGCTTAATATTGGGCAGGTTGTAATTGCCGCGGAACAACTTCTCTTTAGGATATACGCTTCTGTCTAGTTTAAGTAAAAAAAAAATAAATTTCCAGTTATTAAAAAACAAAAGGTATTTCTAGTAAAAGAGTAAGATGCTCTTATAATTGGAGTAGGGTATAAAACATATGTATGTGGATGTATGTATACTTATATTTATGCATCTATGTTTATATTTATGTATAATATTAATTCTGATATATGTCTAATAATTCTGTGGTGTGTTATTGAAATTGTGCTATTCTTTTTTCCCCCATCTGAACAGCACCCGGCAATGCCATCTACTTCTTGATGTCTTCAATTCTACAGAACATGAGTTGACCATCAGTGCTAGGAATAACGAAGATTTAATTCTGCATGCTGGGGAATGTCAGCGGTAAGTGCTTTCAGTATTAAAAGGGCTGTGTTTTTAACCCTGTTATTTATTTATTTCTATGCAATTGATGATATTTGGGGCCTATATTTCTTTTTAAACATTGTACAAGTGTCAAGGAATGTAAGAGTTTTACTTTCTTTAAGGTGCGTCACTGAGGTCTAGCAATATCTCATGTGAATTTATTTTGGCTATGAATCTAGTAGTACTGAAAATAAAATACAAAATAGTTGGTTCTGAGGTGTACAGATGGATATAGCATTGACTCATTTTTGTGGAATGTTTTAATATAATTTTCCTGCGCTCTGAACGTAGTTCTGATGTTAAGACCTTTTCTCACTAGTTCATTATCCTTTCCCAGTTTTAAATAGTCTTTTCTTTATGTAGTTCCCCAGCCATTTCATCAGTTTTCGTAGGAAGAAAACTGTAGGAAAGAAAAATAGAATTGAAGAAAAAGCAATCACAATCTCTGTGGAAAAAATATTCTAGATTAAGTAGGCTATTATGTGTATTGGTTCTTACAACCCTACTGTGGTGATATAAAGATCATTTTGTAGCAAAGTATAACCATTATTTGCCGTAATATATCTACCTAGGATTCCTACTGCTGGCTGTACCCTAGGTTGCTTGGTTTATCTCCTTCAGATGATCATTACATCTAGATGACACCATTTTAATCTTAAAAAGATGAGACTGTGGAAAAGGAAATGTTTCCATTTGGTCATGGGCTATCTGCACAGTTCTCTTCTTTGGGAGAGTTGTGCTGCAGTCTTCAATCATGAAATTGATAAACTTATTTAAAGAGAGATACTTTAATGTCTTCAAATCTCAGTCTGAATATAAGTTCAAAGTAAAAACACATCAATTGCAAGGCATGCAATTGTCAAAAAGAAGTATAGAATATGTTACAAAGCAGTAAATTCGGAATGGTTTTTTGCCTTAGTGACTCCGAAAGCACAACCATGAGAAAATGCATTGACTCAAACCAAGGCCGAATTTTCTCAATTTTACTTTATCAAGGAATGGACAAAAATATCAGTAACATACAGTGCTTGTTCCTTTTATTTAGAAAGAACTGGGTTATTTTCTTTTTCTAAAAGCAGTCTAAATACTCACCAAAATGTTAATGTTCTTCGCCGTACTGTTTTGTAATTCTGTTTTTATGTCTCTTGCTATTTCCCATCATTTTGGTAGTTGGAAAACTCCTTGAAATTTTTCACTCCCAACTTTTGGGACAATATGTAACAAATAGAAATAATGCTACAAATAAGGTTATAAAATTACTTTGCATCTCCTTGATTGAATTACTTTTATTTTCCTATGGATTTAATAATTTAAGTTTAAATATCCTTAAATCGTTATATTGTAATGGATATAAACCCTTTCACTAAGTCTTTTGAAACAGTCATTTATCAAGGCAGATTGTGTATTTTTTGCAAGTATTTAAACCTTTCAAGGGCAGTGATTTTTATTCTTACTACAAAATATTTTATTGCTTTACCCGTGGTTAGAAGTTGCACTGAGTTTGCTATCAGTTCTAAACTAATTTATTATCTATTTCTTGAATGATGAGTGCTTTTAATTGTAACAATGTGTATATAGCTCCGATGTTGCTTAGAGTTCTAATTTTTATTCTGATGGATCTGCTACAGAAACTTAGGTGGAACATACACTGCACCTTAAAATTAAATTAGCATAGTCCTCCTAGCAAAGTGCTTTTGTTAATCTTACATGGGAAAAATAAAAAAAAAAAGAAATCTTCCCCCTTTTTTGGAGCAATGGTCAATGGTTGTAGGTCTTCTTTTTTAACATAGGACAACCGTTCTCCGGAGTTTGCATTTGAACCAAGTGTTTTCAGTCCCGATATACAATATTTTTCAACAAAGCTTAATCTTAGATTCTCCTTTTATAATTCTTTCTTATCTTTGGACATTGATTTTTTTGTTGTTATCTGATTAATATTTAAAGAGAGGCTCTTTAGTCAAGTTAGGGTTTTTTTCCCCTTCCCTGTACCTTCTTGATTCCGTCCTCATTCTTAATGTTTTCCTCATTCCACTTCTATTTAAATTACAACTTTTTTGCCAGCTTTGGTCACTCTTGCTTCCTTTTGTAATTTACTCTCCCTCCATTCCTCACCATCATTTTGAAATCCCCTGTCCTGACAAAGTGTAAATAGCAGGAAATTGTTTTCTTTGTTCCTGTTCTTATTGCTGGAGACACTAAGTGTTTTCATATTCTCTGCCTACAGACCTACAAAGAAGGATAATGCTGCATCCTGCTTACTGCTTGCCTCTTTGCTTCCCACTTTGTATGTTTAGAAAGTAAAATAACTTGGAAGTCTCTGATGTGTTGCTTCTCTTTTCTATGTTACGGAGCCGTTGCTGTAGAATATGTTTTTCCCTCCTCTGCCTGGTGAGAGGGAATTTGCAGGGGATTCTTCCATTGCTTTTATGTAAAATGAAGAATGGTGATGGAAGGCTCTGGATACTACACTTATTAAAGCACTCTCCGTAACATATTTGATTTATAACTATGGTCTACAATTGACTGTGAAGCTGGATATGGGGAGGGTGTAGGAGGTGGAAGCAGAAATGCCAAAAAAAAGTCTGGGATCAGCAGCAGATCAGTGGTGGGCATGGTGGTGTTGGGTTGACGGTTGGACTCGATGATCTTAGAGGTCTTTTCCAACCTTAATGATTCTATGATTTTATGATCAGTACTGGCACTGCCAAATCTTGCTGAGTGCATGCAGGGCAGTCCCTGGTATCCATCTTACAGTATCCGTATTATTCGGTGCATTCCAGCCCCCTCCTGTTCTCTGGCTTATTTGTGTTTATGTAAAATGGATCAAATGCATAGAATATTACACACCCCTTTTACTTTAAGGTCTGAAGTGAAGTTTGCTTCAATTAACCTAGAGATAGGGAAATAATAGCTGTTACAATAACACTGCATGCAGTATGAAAAAATGGTATTATACTATTAAGGAAAAGTGACATCCTTTAGGCCATTAAAATAATACCTGGAAAATATATGCCTTTTTGTACAGTAAGATTATGCTGCTGACTAGTAAAGATTCTCGTTTTAGCTTTCAGCAAACCTTAAGCTTACAATTTACTGTAATTTTTCAGCCATTGATTGGGAATATTTAGTGTGTACATTGTAACTGTTCTCGGATATGTAGGTAAGTGGTGCTTCTGAGAGGTGACACTCTTTTCCCTCTATTCTAGGATAGAGGAATAAATGTTTTGCTCCCCATTGTTTTGTAGTAAGAAATGATAATTTGGGCTCAGTGATTATTTTGTTCACTCATTTTTCTGTCTTTCATCATTATATTTTCTGCGGACACACAAATGGAAAGGATCAGCCTTTCATTTTTTTCCTGTATCCCAAGGTGTTACTTAGCGATCTTCATACTCCCCTTTTTGGTTTCCATAGGATTTGAAATGTTCCTTTGTGTCCCATTTTGGGACAATTAGTGATATATTTTACTTTGAGGCCTTTTGTTCTCAGAAGATTGCGGTGGTGAGGAGAGAACTAAGACTCATTTGGAGGAGAGAAGGAAAAGAAAGGAAATTTGCCTTCCCTCTCCTGTGAGGTAGCATGTTGAAGAAAAGAGAGGGGCAAGGGTTTTGGAGGGTGCTTCGATGAAATCCTGAAAATATAATTATGTTTCATTACAAAGCTAGATTCAAAATCAAATTATTTTTTGCTGCTTTACATGTGCAAGAGGTTTTTTAAGCACAGGGAAATATATTGGACAACTGGTGTCCTGGCAAAAAGTTGTCGGACAAGTTACTCTGCTGAAGTTCTGGCTGCAGTGAGGGATGCTGAGTAATGTTTTTATTAACATCTTCAGTTAATAAAAAATATGCTTGATATACCACACTGTGGTGTCGACATGTTTTGTTAATCTATCCGATTGAACATCACGTGATGATGAGGGAAACAAGTTCTCTGATACATGCTATTGGAAAGTTCAGCCTTCGGATATTTTGCTCGACTAGCAGAGCCTCCCATCTGCAAAGCTGTTTCTTGAAGTAGTCAATTGCACACTGTTGAAGGGGCTTTGCTATGAATGTGGAAATGTTTTGACTGCAGTCAGCAGTAAAACTGAACTTGTTCATCACAGCGATGTGGCATTCAACAGGTTGTTCTGAAATGGAAGAATATAGCAGACAGCTCTGGGAGGAGAATTGTATTATGTATGTTAACAAAAAAGTGTTGCCACTAGCAGTGATTTTAATTTACTGAAAAACTTAGGTATGGTAATTATTGTGTTTCTTACTTGATTATCAAACCATTAAAATTAAATTTCATGACAACCCTCATTTATGCGTAAATCACTTCATAATTTATGGTAATGGTTGTTATGTCATTATGTGCCCCAGGATATCTCATTTTGTACAACATACCCTGCACTGCCTTTACATTTCTATTCTGTGCACAGTGTGTCTGGCATTCGGGAACGGCAAACATCATCGTCAGTGGAAGATTTATCATGGTGATGGTCTGAGTAGATCAATCCTTTCATCTATCCTTGTAGTGCAACACAACTGAGTTGTTAAAGTCTTCCATGTATATGAGGCTCCACAGTTGGTGGCTGTAGAATTAACACTTTTAGGCATTAGAGTTTTCAGACTGGTTTGGCCTTTGTGTGAGGACTGTAGGGATCAAAGCTTGGGACTGCGCAGGAATAGGACTGGAGTGAGGAGTTAAGAAATGCGGAGCAAACAGGCCCTTGGTAAGAACAGGCTGGAGAAAAAGGGTCAAATGGTGTCAGTCATGGAGGAGCTGTGAAGGATCTCTAATCATTCAGGCATCTTCCCAACCAGAGAGGATATCTTCTCCACTAGATGCTGGAATGAAATCTAAAATTTTTTGAGAGTTGTAGTTCCTTGAGAATAGTAAGTAGCCCTGCAGCTTCTGAATAGGTGTATCACTGGTACAGGCCATCATAAATGAGGAAATCCTTTTATTGGTAATTCAAATGGCAGAGGCTT